AACCTCTGACATAACATTCTGATTATTGATAAAGAACTATTATTCTTACAGTAGTACTGACCACTGTGTGGATAATTATAAAGATTTGATTGGTATCAGCCAAATATAACTTGGTGGTAAGTGTGCTTGGTCTGTGAAAATGTGCTCTGCACTATGGAGCCAAGGGTGCATTATAAGAGTAACTATCAAATCCTATTATTAGATTCAACACGAATGGCCCAAGAGTTGGAGGTAGATGTTGACTAGCTGCCCTAGTCTATCACTTTAAAATTAAGGACAGCTATGCATAGGTAGTACTTTTTGTATCTTTGTGAGAAAATTCTGAATTCTATCTTGCTTACTAGAATTGAAAATATTCAGCAGGAATTATATTTTGAGTTATTTAATTAAAAAAATTATCACAATATCATGTTTTACAATTCAACAGAAAAAAAAGACAAGATAGCACATGTAAAGGATATTATTGCAGTAAAATATCAAATCATAACTTGTGTATAACATTCATTGGAAGCACATTTTGTGCAATGTAAAATGCATAAAAACAGACTAATAACACTGATTTTTTTTATTCCATAAATTCACCCACCTTGCTTTCTCTGTTATTTGAGACCTAATCCATAGTTACTTTTGTATATTTTTAGTAAATTTTAAATTATAAAAAGGTTGATATGAACATATTGAATAATAAACCAAAGTAAAACACACAAGCTAAAAGCACATTGAAACACCTTCTGATGGCTGTCAGTTACCATCTTTAAAGATTTTCTGAAAAAGGGAAATTTAATTTTTTGAGATAAAACAATCCAGATAGTGTAATAAATTTTATAGGCCATGGCTAAGTGAAGAAATTCTTAATTTTCACTTTTACTTTGTTTTGAAAATACTTAGAACTATATTGAAACTTTTTATGTTTTATATTTAACAAGAGTTACCAAATGGAAGTACTTAATGAAAACACTTGCTGACAAAGTAACCTGTATAAAATATTTTTGAAATTAAATCATCATTCCCAGCTTTAGGATTAGCAGTAAAGTGCTTTAAGCTATTAAATATATAAAAAAGAAACAATGTCTTTAGTAGATGTCCATGTGACTTTACAAAGTTAATTATTTTGAAAGAAGACTAATTCTTTTTTTTTTCAACAATTGTAACAGGTGGAATGTTAGCCTTAGGATCGCAGTCACTCCCTGATGACCATAAAAAGCACTATATAGAATTGGCTAAAGATATTGGGAACACTTGCCATGAATCTTACCAGAGGTCTGGTAAGTAAACATATTGCTTTTTTTTAAATACTTTATAATCAGAAAATAATATCTCTGCATAACTAATAATTTTGTTTACGAAACATTTTAGTGTCACTTTTACTGAAGTAGGAAGTATTATATAACTTTACAAAAAATGTGTGTGTGTTTTCACAAATTAATGAAGCAGTTTTTCTGGTATTAAAAATATTAGTGTTTGTTTACCATATGGACATAGTTGCATAAGTTTATCCATATTATATCTTTGTTAGTTTTGAAAATAGATCCTTGTATTTGCTGTATTTTCAGGTCTAGAGTTTCTATGTTCAACTAAACAGAAAGTGTAGTATTGCAACTTGGTTCTTGTTTTTTAAATGAGCTATTGTGTGTACTTGTTTAGCTACACGTAAATTGATACGTGGATTAGGACTTAATGTTTGAAAATTGCGTGTGTGTGTGTGTGTGTGTGTGTGT